AGAGATCTGAATGTGAAAGAAAAGTCTATGACCATAAACAACCCCTGTTTTGCATTTGGGAAAACCTGTACATCTACAGACATGAATACATTTAATATACCACGAGGTTAATAACAATCAATTGTCATAGCCATATGAAAACCTTTGTACCAGAGCATCCTTAAATCAAAAACATCATTGTCTAGAAAACTTAATCTTTTGACGTTGACCAATGTAAACATACCACAATAATATATTTTAATAACATTTATTGGGGTGTTGCATAAGGCTATAGAGATCATTAGGGCTTCCTATTAATGAACAAAGTCTGGGATAATTTCCTAGGCAGCTGCTCTTTATTCACCAAAGGGAGCCTTGACCAATAATTCTCCAAGCCCAAAGTGTCCCCATTTAGTTACCTTAGCAAATTTTTGATGACCTCAGAGAAAACGAATTTTGAGATCATATTCACCACCTGGCAACCCAGGTGGAAGCATGCTTTTAAATCTATAGCTCAAATTAAATTTGGAATAAATGTTCCAAAAATGCAAAAGAAAAAGGCAAAAGGAAAGGTTGTTGAGCTCAAAGAAAAAATAGTTTTTAACTGATTGGACAAAAGGAGGAACAAATAACTACACAATTTAACAAGACTGGACAAACAGAGACAAACATCTTACAAAATCAGAGTGCACTCAAATGTATTTTTGATCAAACTGAATTGTAATAACTCTTTCACTGCCCACATTGGCATAGTCATCAACTCCACAGTGTGGGCCCCCTTGAGCCACCTGCTACACCAAGTTCAAGTTGCCTCACCTAGCAGGGTCAGGCCACATGGTCTCAGGGAAGCTCCTTGTGTCATAGGGCCCCCAATGTTTGGCAGGGCCAGGGCAGGCCCCACTGGAAGTTTCCCAGAACAAGTCAGCCTCCCACATCAGTTCTGGATTTATACTTATTTTCCCAATGATAGCCTCATTGACACTTTGTACAGATACTAGGTTTAGTCAAAGGGAAGATAATGGTTGTGCTGCCCTTACAGGTGCAGCCAAGCAGTTTCAGGAAAAATGTCCCTGGCTCTGACAGCTGAAACAAGTATCTTTGTTCTTTTCCTTTTCTCTAGGCTGTGGATGAACAACCTGAGTGACAGTTGTGGCCAGGGTAGCCCTTGTATATATAAGGGGCCAACATCTGCACAAATCCAAACAGCTCAGATAGCATAGCCCATTTTCTGTGGGCTCTCAAAGCCTCTATACACCATTTATTTGCATTTTCAAAGGCCAGTTGTTGAGCAGTTAACTTAAAGGATAACCATTTTATGAACGAAGAAGGCAGAAGTAGCCACTTGTGGCAATTAAGGTTATTGGGTATTGTGAAATGGAATTTGCATGGAAACACTCCTCTTGTGGGGAAGGGTCTTTTATGTTCCTCATCACTTCTTCCTTATGTAATTGAGCAAAGCTAGAGTGCTTAAGCTCTATTGGGTTGGCTGTTGTTTTGCTATCTTTTTCCTGCTTTGGACTTGATTTTATTTTATTTTATT